CAGACACTGCATTCAGTACCAAGGAGTGAACAAGAAATCTCTGAAAAGGGAGACAGCCAAAGTCAGAAGATGATACAGGCTACGGAGAAAAATAAAACAGAAGGAGTCGGACGTTGACAGCAGGTAGCAGAGGGAAGAGATCAATTTTAAGTAGGGTTTGACTCTAAACAGGAGACTGGGAGGAGGGGAAGAAGGGACCCATTCAGATACCAGGGGGATAATCGGGAGGAAGAGCAGGAGGTGGCCTAAGAAAGGTAGACGGGCAAAAACCTCATTGCGTCTTAAAGGCCAACCAACACAAGGACTTTGAACGCGATGGCGCGTCACAGGAAGGTTTGAGCAAGAGTAACAAAATCTCACTTACAGTTGACAGCATCACTCTGGCGGCTGTGATGAAAATAGTCTGGCGGGAGACAAGGGAGGAAGCAGGAAGGTCAGTTAAGAGGTTCATGGTAGCTTAGACCAGGGTGAAAACGGTGGAGGTGGTGAGAGTCAGGTTCGCGATATATTTAAGGCAATGTCAGCGGGATTTATTGATTAGAGGGAAGTGGGATGTGAAAGAAAGGGAGAGGCCAGGGATGACTCCAGAGTGTGGGGGGCCTTGGGCAAGTGGAAGGGTGAAGTCACCACTAACTGAGATGGGAAAGATGGGAGGGGGCGGGGTGAGCAGTGCGGTTCATTCTGTCCTGGACTCATAAAACTAAGAAGCCTTTTAGACACTAGACGTGCTGAGTAGGTGGCAGACACAGACAAGGCCAGGGCTGGAGAGGATGAGCTGAACTTATAAATGTGGGAGCCACCAGCATAGGTAATAAGTTGTAATATTGTACGTAGAATCATACAGCACTCATGTATATGATCACATGTAATCTGTATGACTATTTTTATTGTCTGTCCCCCCTGCAAGGACTGTAAGCTCCGTGTGGCCAAGGACCATGTCTGTTCACAGCCAAAAAAGTGCCTGGCACTCAGTAAATATTTACTGAGCAAAGGGAGAAGTTGCCCAATTACTCCCTCAAGAATAGCTACACAGCCCACACGAGAAACAGACTCCTGCAACCACAGTGCCAAGCCCAACCAGCCCAAAACAGGGCCCTGGGGCTGACTGTCCACCCTGTAAGTGGATACGCCTGGCACATCACAGCGTCAGGTATTTGGGTTTCAGCCCCACCACATTCTCAAAGGGTGGAGCTGGGCTAGAGACTTGCCAGTTGACCACCTCCATTTCTCCCTGCAGTGGCTGCGGGAGGGGCTGTTTTGCCCAGTTCACGGACAGCGATATATACCTCTGAGGTGGCAGGAGCCAATTCAAAGGGATAAACCTGCAAGTATTCTCTGAATTGTGCAAGGACCACTAGAACCTGAAGGGGAGGAACACAGACCCCCTGGGGATGCATTAAGAGTAACAACAAAAAAATGTTTTTGAAGAGTGACAGTCACAAAACTTGATGAGAGGACCAGGGAATCCTCCAACCAGAGTCTCAGCTTCAGACGGCAAGTAACTCAGACCAGGGAATTAAGGATAACGGTGGTATTACAAGGTGTAGGATTTTGTTTCAATACTTTCCCAGTTTTGAACAGATGCCTCTGTGAAGATGATAGAACACCTCTAATGGCCTTGGATAACCCCCTGCCTTTCCAAGATACTGAAAGTATGACTCAAGGAGATATGATGGCTTGCCCAGGCTCACTGAGCTACAGGCCCAGGACTAGAACTCAGGATCTAGCTCTCTGCAAAGGGCTTCTTCCCATCATGCCAGTGACAAAGGAAAGGTAAGAGTTACAGGGGGAGCTGCTGGAGTTTTGGGCATTGCTCTTACAAATAACACTGTGTCCTTGTCAAAGGTAAGCTGCAGATGCTATAGCAATGCCAGGTGCATGCTGTGAAGTTAAGAAGGATTCCTTCGCTTTTACCAAATTTGTCACCACACAGAGCTCCTCTTAGCTTTGGACTTTATGAATAAAGCTATTCACAGCCAGACCCACAGAATTAAAATAACAATATACTAGCAGGTTGAAAAAATGCAAACATATATTTTAGTAAAACGTCTACATGAAAAATTAAGATGGAAGGATAAAGCTGGTTAGCTTTCTAAAAATCAACAAATATTGAGTGCTTCCTCTATATTGTGCTGAGTACGTATGAACTTGGCTGTATGCTGAGTGACAGAGACACACACACACACACACACACACAACGATAAGAGAGAACCCAGGTCTTCGATACAAGACTGTAAACATCAAAGGCATAACTAATAACACAGAGTAGGTAATTGTTAAGTGGCATGGCTAAGGTTCTGCAGGAGTTCTCAGAAGGGACACTCATTTCTCCTGGGGTTAGGGCTGGGGCAAGGGTAGGTGAGTTGGGGCTGTCAGGCAGGCTGCTTCAGGAAAGACACAGGATTCAAGGTGGACCATGAAAAGAAGAAAGTCTACCCTTAAGAAGGGGAAATGGCAAGAGCAAACACTGATGCCCTTAACATCAGGAAGGAAAAGAAATCGGGTCTTAAAAGTCCCAGCCAGACTTGACAAGGAAAATTCTTGCATGAATAGAAGGTGCAGAAAGATTTCTGAAGATAGAAACTACAGAGTTTGGGACAGGGTGGTTTTTTAAAAAAAAAAAAAAAAGACTTTATTTATTTATTTGAAAGGCAGTTACAGAGAGGCAGAGGCAGAGAGAGATGTCTTCTATCTGCTGGTTCACTCCCCAGATGGCCGCAACGGTCAAAACTGGGCCAATCTGAAGCCAGGAGCTTCTCCTATGTCTCCCATGTGGCTGATTTCACAAACACCTTCTGGGAGGGGACTACCAGCTGTGGGTAATGGATGAATGAAGACAAACTTACTTGCCTTTGGTGGAGACCGCACTTCAGCCTAGAAGAAGAGTTGGACCTGAGCCGGTGACAGGGGTGTGAAGTCGAGTGGGAAGGAGCAGCTTCGCAAGACCTGCAGGCCTCAGTGACTGGCAGGTAGACAGAAAGCAAGTAAGCCAAGATGTCATCTAGACAGTCCTGAGAGGCACAGCTTAGGCAGCTGAAGAATGTAAGGAAAGAACGCAAGTGGCTGGCAGGGAGAGATGCAGACTTGCATTAGATCTGAGGTCAACATCAGCATCTGGGGGCCTTTAGAGATGTGGGTCCGGGGTACAGGGGAGAGGTAATAGCTGAAGATCAAGTGTAAGAGTCTTCCCAGTCGAGGCCGACTTTTGTGGCATAATGAGTTAAGCTGCCGCCTGCCGCTCCAACATCCCATATGGGCACTGGTTCGAGTCCCAGCTGTTCCTCTTCTGATCCAGCTCCTTGTTAATGCACCTGGGAAAGCAGCAGAAGATGGCCCAAGTGCTTGGGCACCCACATGGGAGACCTGAATGAAACTCCTGGCTCCTGGCCTCCGCCTGCCCTAGCCTGGGTCGTGGAGGCCATTTGGGGAGTGAACCAGTGGATGGAAGGGCACTCTGTCTCTCTCTCCCTCCCTCCGTCCCTCTCTGTAACTCTGACTTTCAAATAAATAAAATAGATCTTAAAAAAAAAAAAAAAAAGTCTTCCCAGTGGACAAAGCCATGGGAAGGAGCATAGTAAGAGAAAAAGTGTTCAGACTGCACCGCAGGAGTCCCGCTCCTCTGAGGTGGCAGCGCCAGTGGGCAGGAGTGACCAGACAGGAAAACCAAGAAGGCAAGGGGGCAGAGTTTCAAGTAAAGGCAGGTGTCAACAGAGGAAAATGCTACAAAATCAGTTACCAGGGCTCACTGCAAAAATAACAAATATTTGTGGGATGAATGAAAGAACGGAAGGAAGGCAGGAAGCCCTTGAGTTGCCCATCCACTTTCCTCAGTCAGAAGAATGGCCCGGGCTGCCCTCCGACACCGGGGTTTCGGAGTTAAGTCTCACCCCTCCATCCTATAAAAACACGTCTCTTCCGCCACAAGCCATCCTGTGCACCGCACAGACATCCTTCCCTGCCTCCCCGACGGTTTCCCATCCTCCTTCCCGGCTTCCGCGTCGGAGCAGGTGGGAAACTGAAGTTCCCACTTCATTCACAACTCTGCGTCCGGCTCCCCTTCCACCAAGGGCTATGTGGCAACGGGCAGGAGGAGCACGCTGGCCGCCAGCCCCACTCGCACGGCTCACTCGCTGTGTGACTTTGGACAAACCCGCCAGCCTTTCGGGACCCAGCCTTTTACTCAGAGCGGAGGAGGCGGATCTGTCTGGAACCCAGACAAGTTTCGGCGCTCCTCCGAGCACTACAGTCTATGATTTTATCATTCTCAGAAGGTCCTTGCAACACCCTCGGAGAAGGAAGTGAGACCCAGAATGACCGCCGGCCCTCTCCGAGGGGCCGAGCGCCAGGACTGAAGGGGCGCACGGCGAGAGTGAGACGGCGCGGCCGGTCCCGCGGATCCCCAGAGGGCGCGGCCCCCTCCCAGCGCTGGCGCGGAGCCCCGCAAACCCGAGGGCGCCTCTCGCTCCGCACCCCACCTCGCCACAACTCCCAGACGGCCAGGAGGCTCTAAAAAGCCCTGCGGGGGGAAAAAAAATAAAGATTTCTTTCCCAGAGTCCTGCGCTGCTTTTGCAAGTCGGATTCCGGCAGACGCGATCCGCAGCCCGAGAATGACACAGTCAGTCTCGGGAAGGAGCGACCGACCGTGCCGAGTCGTGGGGCCGCCCGGCAGTTCGCGCCGCGCCCCGACGGGCAGGCGTCCGACCCCGGCCCGGGCTGCCAGGCCGCCGGCGCCCTCGCCCCCGGCCCTCCTCCCCGCGGCGGCCCCGCTGCGGTCTGCGAACATTTCCTGCCCCCGCCCCCACCGGCCACCCGGAGCTTCCCAGTTGGAGCGAGTTGGTCTCGCAGCCCGGTCGGCGTCCCCGGCCTCGTCAGGCTCGGAGCTGCGCTGGGAGAGCCCAGGCGCCAGGGGCCGTGGGAGGTCGCGCCAGGAGCCCAGGGCCCCGGCGAGCAGGGGCCGACCGGCGAGGTGCCCGTGGCCCTGCTCGTTCCCCGTGGTTACCTGCTCGCTTGCGGGGGTGTCCTGGGGCGGCTGGCCTCTCCCCGCGCTGTCTCCCCACGCAGTTGCCCATGCTGGCTCCTCAGCCGGCCCCCATGCACCGGAGGCGGCGGGGTGGTCGGCTGCTCCGCGCCCCTGCCCCGGACGGCGGCGTCCCGGGTCAACGGCTCCTGCCGCCCGGCATCTGACGCTCCGGATCTCCCCCCGGGGGGCGCGCTCTGCCCCGGCGCCGGCCTCGCCACAAACTTTGCGGACCCGGGGAGGGAGGGAGGGAGGTGGCCGACTCCCCTGCTCAGTCCCAGGTGGCCGGGCCAGGGGGGCCCGCGACGGTGCCCGGCCGGAGACCAGCCCCGCTGAAGGGGCGGAGAGAGGGGGCGGGCACCGCCGCAGCTACTCCCGGCTCGCTTGGGGCTCCCAGCTGGGGCCGGCCCCCCGCAGCCTGTCACTCACCTGCCTAACCCCGCCCCAGCCCGGCCCCACTCCCTTCCGCCGGCTCGCGGTGCCCGCGCCGCCGCCGCCACCCGCCCCAGGTGCGCATGTGACCGACGGCACCGCCCCCTTGGGCCGGGCCTGATTTTCTCATTGGCTTCCCCCAGGGTGCGTACCGCCCCTCGGCCCCACCCAACCAGGTGTCCTCCCCGCAGCCCGTCTCCCGGGGAGCCGGGCCGGGAATTATTCGCCCTCAATGGCCCCCGGCTGCGTGCCCAGCGAGCCGCCTTCGCTCTCCGCGCCACCGCCCCGGCCTCAGGCCCCACCCCTCGGGGAGGGGCCTTCCCTCCCCTCCCCTCCCCTCCCCTCCCTGGAACTGCCCGATCGAGAGCTGGCGGCCACGTGATCCAGGGAGCGCCCCGCCCCCGCGGCATCCACCCAGCGATTGGCTCAGGGGGCGCGTGCGCAGACAAGCCTGTCTCGCGCCTCCGCCTTTCCCCTCCCACGGTCGCTCGTTAGCGTCATGGCCGCCGCCGCCGCTCCCCAGGAGGCGGCGGCGCCTACGGGCCCCCTGTGGGGACTCGTGCAAGACTTCGTCATGGGTCAGCAGGAGGGCCCCGCTGACCAGGTGGCTGCAGGTACGGCAGACAGCGCCGGGCCCCTTCCGCTTGGGGGCCGACAGGAGGGAGCGGCCTCAGCACAGGCGCGGGGCGGGAAGGGAGTGAGGGGCAGGATGACTTTGAGAGATCAATCTCAGGGCTGCTTAGTGAGCATCGAGCTTAAGAAGCGTAACAAGTTGGAGAGTCGCGCGCATCTTCCATACAGCGCTTTTACTCTCGACGTCTCCTCACAGCCAACGGTAGACCGTCATTACATGTCACTGACGAGGAGACGCAGGCCCGGAGAGCTGCGGCGCGGGCGGGAGGGGAGCTGGGGCTCAGACTCGGGAGTTCAGGTGGCTCGGGCTGCCGGCTCCGGGAGACCACGTTGTTTGTGGAGATTGACGTGGGGAGGTGACTGCTGGGCGCGTCCGCTCGCGGCGCGCGGCATCTTGGGAGTGGCTGTAGTCGGAGCGAGCCGAGCGGCCAGTCGGGGCAACTGGAGGTGGTGTCGCATCCTCCTCCAGACTTTCCCTCTGTGTCTTGGTGAAGTTCTTGATTACTTTTGCATCGTGACTTTTGTGCGGCATTATTTTTATCTTTTTCCCAGATCCCCTGTCTCCTCTGCTTTGGACCTGTTCAGGGAATCTCTTAGTTCTGGCAGTTTGTTAAAGATTGGAATAAAAACAATCCTAGACTTGCTTGGGTTCTGAGACTTAGCTCATTTAGGGAAAAAAAAAATCTAAAACTTTCAACCAGTCATTCCACCATTATTGAACACGGTCTCCAAAAATGATGCAGAGCAGGACTATAAATACAAATTAGATCTGTGCCCACCAAGAACTTGCAGTGCGTGTGTGTGGGGGGAGAGACAGCCATGCTATAAGAGGTAAATGCAAGGTGGTCTGCAAACATCACACAGCAAATGTCTGATGCTACCCCTATTTATTTTTTTATTTGAAAGGCTGTTACAGAGAGAAAGGGAAAGATAGAGATTGATTGAGAGATCTTCCATCTATTGGTTACCCTCCAAGTGGCTGCAATGGCCCGGCGCTACCGAAGCCAGGAGCCTGGAACTCCATCTGGGTCTCCCATGTAGATGGCAAGGGCCCCAGCACTTGGGTGATCTGCTGCTTTTCCAAGCACATTAGCAGGGAACTAAAACAGAAATGAAACAGCCAGGATACTGGTATCACAGGTGACAGTTTAACCCACTGTACCTCAATGCTGGCCCCTAAACTTAACATCTTTTTTTTTTTTTTTTTTTAAGATTTTATTTATTTATTTGACAGGTAGAGTTACAGAGAGTGACAGAAAGGTCTTCCTTCCGTTGGTTCACTCCCCAAATGGCCGCAACGGCCGGAGCTGCGCCGATCCAAAGCCAAGAGCCAGGAGCTTCTTCCTTGTCTCCCATGTGGGTGCAGGGACCTGAGGACCTGTGCCACCTTCTACTGCTTTCCCAGGCCACAGCAGAGAGCTGGACTGCAAGAGGAGCAACCGGGACTAGAACTGATGCCCATATGGGATGCTGGCCCCGCAGGCGGAGGATTAACCTAGTGTGCCACGGCGCTGGCCTCTAAACTTAACATCTTAAAACTCTACAATTGGGGCCGGAACTGTGGCATAGTGTGTAAAGCCACTGCCTGCAGTGCCAGCATCCCATATGGGTGCCAGTTTGAGTCCCGGCTGCTCCACTTCTGATCCACCTCTCTGCTATGGCCTGGATAAGCAGCAGAAGATGACTCAAGTCCTTGGGCCCCTGCTCCCGCGTGGGAGACCTGAAAGAAGCTCCTGGCTCCTGGCTTCGGATCAACACAGCTCCAGCCGTTGCCATTGCTACCAACTGGGTAGTGAACCAGTGGATGGAAGACCTCTCTCTCTCTTCCTCTCTCTCTGCCTCTCCTCCTCTCTCTGTGTAACTCTTTCACACAAATAAATAAATCTTAAAAAAAAAAACTATGAAAAGTGTACTATGTTAACAGTGCTTACAATTACAAGTAGTGTTATCAGTGTCATTTTTCCCAATGTTTTAAAATTTTCAACCATTTAGCAGTCTATAAAGAATTTTATAAGGAGCACACATACTCTCCAACTAGATACTTCCATTAATACTTTAATAGAATTTGCTTTATCAAATGTCTATCATCCATTTAAATTGTAGATAACCACTTAAGTTGCAGATATCAATACACTTCCCTCTAAGTAACTTGAGATGCAGATCATTGACCAGAGTTTATCGTATAGTTTGGTGTAAAATTTAAATCCAGTGAAGTACACAAATCTTAAATGTACATTCACTGATTCTAACAAAGGCATCCGCCTGTCTAATCCAATCTCCTATCAAGAAAATAGTACATGACTATATCCCTGTCATTTGTAACATTTCTTTCACATTTGTACATTGTGAAAACAATAATTTTTTCTGGTTCAGGACATACTTTGAGAAAGCAGCTTGATTAAGAACTGCTAAATTCTCATAAACATTTTTGTGAAATTTATTTTTGGGGGCAGGCACTGTGCTACAGCAGGTTAAACCTCCTCTTGGGACACCATATTCCATATCAGACGGCAGATTTGAGACTTGGCTTCTCTGCTTCCAACCCAGCTTCCTGCTAATGCATCCTGGAAGGCAGCAGATGATGGCTCCAATGCTTGGGACCCTGCCACCCATGTAGGAGACCCAGATTGAGTTCCAGGCCCTGGCAGGCGTTTAGAGAATGAACCAGCAGATGGAAGGTCTCTCTCTCTCTCTCTCTCTCTCTCTCTCTCTCTCTCTCTCTCTGCCTTCCAAGTAGGTGAAAAACATTTTTTTATTTTGACAGGCAGAATTGACAGTGAAAGAGAGAGACAGAGAGAAAGGTCCTCCTTTTCCGTTGGTTCACCCCCAAAATGGCCACTACTGCTGGCACTGTGCCGATGTGAAACCAGGAGCCAGGTGCTTCCTCCTGGTCTCCCATGCGGGTACAGGGCCCAAGCACTTGGGCCATCCTCCACTGCCTTCCCAGGCCACAGCAGAGGGCCGGACTGGAAGAGGAGCAACCAGGACAGAATTCGGCGCCCCAACTGGGACTAGAATCCCGGGGTGCCAGAGCCTCAGGCGGAGGATTAGCCAAGTGAGCCACGGCGCCGGCCTGAAAAACATTTTTAAAAATTTGTCTTTTTATTCGTGTCTGAAAAAAAATGGCCTAAACTATTGTAAATTTTAAATTCAACTCAGCTCAGCAAAGATATTGTAACAGCCCTGTTGTAATATAGCCTTCCTAAAAAAAAAAAAAAAAAAAAAAAAAAGACGGTTGTACAGAGAAAGCGTAACAGGTAAATTTGAAAGGATTTAGTGGGATTGGACTATGCATAACCTTGGATTCCAGGGAGAGGAATTTGAATGACCCATTTTAGGTCATAGGAGTCATTGTAGATCCTTGAGGAAGGGAGCCATAAAATGAAAGTGAATTTGAGGGGATTAAGTTAGTTTTCTCCATTTTAGATCACAGCCCTAGTTAGAATTGTTGAAGGCTGACACAGTTTTGGGGCACCCCTGAATAAGGAGTGCTTTCTAATCCTCTTTCCTAAGTCAAGCTCTGTTAGTGCTAAAGGGGCCAGCTAGCTGTGCAGGCCACATGCAGCAGTAGCAGCAGCTTACTACAAATTGTAAATGCAGACAGACCACTGTGATCAGAAAGGCAGCTACCACCAACTCTGTTTTACATCTGGATTCAGCTGTAAAGAAGGTGCAGGTGATAGAATGAAAAGGGCCTGGCAGTCCAGGCTTTCAAAGGCTGCTGTTACCTGTCCCAGCCCCATTGCTCCTCCCTAACTTTTAGTTGCATGTAGTCACCTTTATTCCCTATTCCCTGAGTGTTTTCCTTTCTAGTTCTCTCCACTAGCTCTGTCTAAACCAAGATAGACTCATGTGTCAAGGCCAAGACTAAGTGTGCCCTCACACCTAGAGTTTTCAGATTATTTCAGCAGCCAACATCTCACACCTCAGAATTCAGAATCTTTGTAACACTTACTTCTCAACCACTCCTGTACTTAGTAGGGAGACATTTTTAGTAGCTATGTCTGTATGCATCTCTACATTCTACCCTCCCATTTCTACCACAATCTCATAAGCGGGCATGCAATAAAAACTACTTAAGTGAATGGCTTGAGAGAGTTGAAGAAAGATTCTGTGATTTGAGATCTAACTACAGAAGGTCTTCAGAAAGTTCATGAAAAATCCATATTGTGGAAAATCTATATGGATTTTAAAGTTTTGGACACCAAAGTAAACTTGTAAAAAATTATTTATTTGAAAGGCAGAGATATTTTCCCATCTGTTTACTCCCCAAATTCCTGCAACAGCCAGGACTGGGCCAGGTGGAAGCCAGGAACCCAGAACTCAATCCAGGTCTCCCACATGGGTGGCAGGAACCCACTACCTTGAGCCACCATCTGCTGCCTCTCAGGGTATGCGTAAGCAGGAAGCTGTAATCAGAAGCAGAGCTAGTACTTAAACCCAAGTCACTCTGATACTGGATTTGGGTGTCCCAAGCTGCAGCCTAATGCTGTTGAAACACAGCACTGACAAGTAAGTGCTAGAACTGGAAGCACAGCTAGGGTTCCAACCCAGGCTCTCTGGTAGGGGACACAGGCCCAAGCAGCGTTTTTTTTGTTTGTTTCTTTGTTTTTTTTTTTTGTTTGTTTGTTGTTGTTGTTGTTTTAAGATTTATTTATTTATTTGAAAGGCAGAGTTA